GTTAATCCTCAGCAGCTGTATAACCAAATCACCACACAGAGACTGGGTTTTTAGTTAACCTAGAACACAATGCTGGGCAATATTTACTGCCTCCTAAACCTCCAAGCCCTCAGTTTCCTAACATTTAGATTTCCCACATTATACTTGCTTTTTGTGAAATCTTAGATCTGGTTCATGCTCCAAGTCCTCCAAGCTCTCTCTTCCAGCTCTGATCTCCTTGCTCTCCCTCTCACCCCTTCTCCTCCCACTCCCCTCCTGCTCTCTAGCTCCTCCCCTCTCTCCTGTCCTCTGGCTCCTCCCATTGCACAACATTGTATCTAGTTGTTTTATTTTGTCCTGTTTACACAAGAGTTGAGACAGGATGCTTACAGTGAGTATCACAATGCAATATCCGGATTGAAACCAGAGAGTGGGGGTGGGGAAATCAGCATTTGAATACATTTTTTAAAAAAACATTATACCAACAGAATGGACAAAGGTAAACTGTTCACAGTCCACAAAATCATTAGGCCAACGTCTCTCCCAGGGATAGTGAAGAGGAGAGAGGATACTTCAGATTACAACTGAACATTAGGTTACAATGAGTATAACATTACAACTGGCTATTGTTATTCATTTATATGCCTTAATGGGAAAACATGTTTTTGCCATATGTGGCTTGTGCGCCACGTGCAGCTTGCCCTTATGATAGTATACTTTACTCATGGGATTCCTCTTAATCCTCAGAGTGTAAGTTGTCTGATGGTCTGAATAAAGTTGGTTCATTTATTGACTCCATTCCCCCAAGCCCCACTATCTGCACAGCAGGAAACAGGCTCTTACAGAAAAAGAGATAGAGATAGAAGATTAAAGGGGAATAATGTAACAAGAAAGGTTATATTGGAGTAAAGGCCAATGGGACAGGATAGAGAAGGCAATAAAGGGAGAAATAAATAATAACAAAGACCTTTCAATAGAGTTGCATGGAAAGTTATTTCTACAGAAGCTCAGATAGATAGACAGACGGATAGATAGATAGATAGATAGATAGATAGATAGATAGATAGATAGATGAAGTTAGAAATGGGGTAACCTTATTGAGAATTTTTTGAAACTTGTGTTCATCAAAAAGAATAGTTCTCAAGGCTTCTCTCTCTCTCTCTCTCTCTCTCTCTCTCTCTTACTCATTCTCTCATCCTCTGGGTCTTCACTTGGTTTTCTTATGAGGAGAATACTGGCTCATAAAAACAAATTTGAAAGTGTTCCTTTCTTTTCTATTTCACAGAATGATTTCAAACATATTGGTGTTAAAATTCTGAAGGCCTGGTAGAATTCTGTGTTGAATCAATCTAGCTTTGGATTTTTTTTTTATTTCTTTGAGATTAAATTTTAATTTTTTATTTTTCTTTCATACAATAAAATTCTGACTGCAGCCCCCCCTCCTGCCATGCTCTCAGCTTTCCCTTCACCCCAGATCCACTGCAGCTCCACATCCTTTTAGAAAAGAGAAGGCCTCTCAGTGATACCAACCAAACATGGCATAACAAGATGCAATAAGACTAGGCATAAACCCTTATATCAAGGATGAATGAGGCAACTCAGTAAGAGGAAGATGCTCCCAGGGGCAGGAAAAGAGTCAGAGACAACACTGTTCCCACTGTTAGGAGTGCAGCAACCACCCATGCCAACCCCTACCCCACACTTTGCTCAGAGACCTAGGGTTAGAAACAAACACAACTGAAGAAAAAGGCAGTGAAATGATTTCTAACAATATTCTGCTATATTCATAGTTTGGTGCCTAGCCCGGTCATAATCAGAGAGCAGTTACTCCAGTAACAGGAAGAAAGAGAAAAAAAAATATTCATTAATTATCTAATGTATCTGAGAAAACTTAGCACATGTTCACATTTTAATGACTCAACAAAATGGGTACAATGGGACTGTAGAGCAACATCCAATGGACTGTAGAGACAGCCCAGCTCCCAATCAGTAATGTTCATGGTGTTAGTGAGAGAAGAGCACATTAGAAAGGAGATTTGGCCAAGCATGGTGGTGCACAGCTTTAATTCTAGCACCTGGGAGGCAGAGGTAGGCAGATCTCTGTGAGTTAGAGACTAGACTGGCTTATATAATGAGTTTGAGGACAGCCCGGTCTGCTTACATTGTAAGACTGTATCTCAAACAACAAAATTAAGTAATAAATGAACCAATAAATGAAGGTTTTGTTGAAAATGGCAAGGTTTTTGTTCATAAGTATACCTGGGCCACCCTGTGGGAAGGGGAGGCAGCACAATGCTGGGCTGAATCACCAGCTCAGGCCACTGGGTTCTCTTACACAAATGTCAACAAGCACAAGACATCCTCTGGGGAAGGGTATCCTATGGAGGACATGGACATCCTCGGAACAGGGATAATCTTTACTGGGATTAAGAAGACAGGAGAGGATTGGGACCTAATGGCTTGCTTTAAAAAGACTAGTAATGACTAGTATCATCTGCCAACTTACTACAAACCAATTGCCTCATGGCTTTTAATGTGTGCCATGATTTCACTCATACTTCAGGATCCAAGGCTAGCATAATAGTTTGTTTGATTTAAGTAAAATTATCTCATGGTAAAGTAACTATGATTTTCTAAAAATAGCTGTCCCAGCTTAGAGAATACCACTTCTGTGTTTCTTTTAAGGAGAAAATTTGTCTTAATTAGTAATGTTCAATCTTCCACAAAGATGGAAAAGCTACCTCAGAAGCTGTCATAGTTTATTTTACACATTGACTTATACAACTAGGTACAGGAACACATTTGAACACTGGAATAAATGTGCCTCCTTGGCCCACAACTGAGCAAGATTTGCCTATGTTTACATTTCTCATCACTAGTGTGCTACTGGAATGTTTGAAAAGAAGAAAGCAATTGTCTATGTCTTTTCTATGCCAACTTAATCAGAATTTGTTTCATGAGTTGCTACTTTGCATTTACTGAAAGGCAATTTAGTGTGGTTTTCATATAATACCCACTTAAGAATATATAAAAATTTTCATATTTTATAGTATTTTATATTTATAGATATATAAGTTTATGTGTTTTTTTCTAGCACTTTAATTACTGTTTCTATGCAGGCAAGTCAAGCTGAAGGGGAAAGACTGCCTGCTAAAAACTCCCCTTGATAACTTTGTAAACTTTGTAATCTTTGTAGACCCTCAAGGCAGTAGAGTGGCTAGGATTCTACAGCATTCAGGTCTCTACCCCAGAACTCTCTAACTGTCCTAACAGCATTTCCAGCTCTAGGACTGTCACAAATATCATCATCACACCCTCAATAAGACCCATCCCCAATTACACTAATTTTTTAGGTACAAAGTCGAAAAAAAACCCACCCGGAGCAGAAAAATTCACCAGTCCCTGAGCTTCTCCAGGCTCAGGACTTGAAATCTCACCAATCCTCACCTGGGAAATCTCTGCCCTAAAAAGCTCCACCCTGTGAGAAATCTTATATAAAGGCTGTGTCTGCTCAGTTCCATGTGGTCCTCTCTGGGAACGGAGACAGCCAACCCAGAATTTATTCCTCCACACCCTGGACTATCCCAAAAACACCTCTCCTATGAGACTTGCTGCCTGCTTCAACTCTCTCCTCAGGAGATACCAAGAAGCAATGAAGAAAAGAAGCAAGTGAAGCAAAGAACTGGAGTGGGGCTGAGGGTCCTGAGCTCCTGAGCTCAGCTGGGAACACCCTCCTCACTGTAGAAATGGGGCTGAGGCTCCTGAGATACTCAGCCCACATAGTGATACCCTCCTGGGGGATGCAATGCCTCTGCTGAGGAGGCTTTCTCTCAGAGCTGTGTGTTTTCTGGGCTCCCATGTTTCCGGATGGCCATTCACTGGGACACTGTTGGTATAATGCTCGTGTGGAATGTATACATTTTACCCTTGTTCATTCAAATGGTGATTTCTCTACCCCACTATCTGATTTCAATCCAGACATTGCATTGCGAGGCTTCTTCTAAGCATCATGTGTCTCAAGTGTGTAAACATGCTACCATTTGTTCTCTGTATTGCCAATAAAACAACCAGCCAATGCTGAGCAACGGAGAGAATAGAGTGGGACATCCTGGTCCAGAGGGGAGGAGAGAGGAGGGAGGTCTGAAAGAAGAGAAGTTGGAAACACCAGGAGAAATGGAGTGGACCTAAGATATGATTAAAAAGCAAGTATAATGTGGTAAATCTGAATGGGAGAAAGTGATGCAGGCTTGGAGGATTAGGATGAAATAATTATTGCCCAGAATTGTACTCTGGGTTAATTAAATAAATTTTAGTCTCTGTGTGGTAATTTGGGTATACAGCTGGTTTGGGAATAACCACTATTTAACCAAAAGATAAACCAATATTAAATATTAATAATCATCAGCAGGACATCAAGGAGGCACCTAGCCACTTTCCTGCCTACAAAGTTTACAAAAGGAGTCCACCACAGGGAAGCTATCCCTGCCAAATGAGTTGGCATGAATAGCCAACAGAAACAATGTTAAACAATGAAAGATGCTGTTAACCTACTTTGGATAATTATTTTACAGTGTGATATGTATATACACATATATATTTATTGATATCTGCATCAATTCAGACACTATAAGCTGAATATATAGAATTTTATTTCTCAATTTTATGTCAATAAGTGAAGGCAGATTTAAAAAAGAGAAAAAAAACAGATGGAGAGAACATAGCATACAATTGTGTGAGCCAATGAAACCTTGGGGAATTGGCAGCAAAGCTCCATGTGTGCACAAAAGGGACACCGTGTACATGGAAAGCTCCCTGGCACATGGTAAATTCTAAACCAAAGAGCATTTTATAAAAGCGTCACTGGATGAATACACAAGTGTATGTGGGCCAGTGTTTTCATATGTTTAATCATTTACTGCCTACTAAAATTCTGGGGACATCTCAGCCACATGAAGAACTTTCCAGGTGTCTATGTCATTCTGGATAACAATTCAATCCAAAGTCCATGGAGAATGTGTTATTCATAAGTATATTTTATTCATCTGGCAAACTGAGCTTTGTTTATAATTGCAAAAGGCATCATTCCAGCCCCAACCAGCAGGTCGATGATTTATTACAACACATTGTTCCTTCCAGTTGTTGGGCTCACCTTTGTGCCAGAATCTGAAATGGAGGAAAGCCCATCAGGCTGTTTCCTACAATAACATTTGAAAAGAGAAAGCAAGAGTATGCAAGCCTGAGGATGAGGTTGGAATTTGTGGAAATCAGATTCCAGTGTGTTTATTTCAACCATTCACCATCACCCATATCTGACATTTCCCTTAATAACAGTACCCACAGCACTCAATGCAGTAGCAGTGAGATACTTAACCATTCTTCCAACACACAACCCAGAGGCTACTATTTCTTCGTCCCTTCGTTTTAGTACCAGAAGACTGTCAACCCATGGTGCTTGTTTATGTGCTGAAAAGGTCTCTCCTTATTCCCATGTATTAAGGTAATTTTCTTACATATTACAAAAGAACTGGATTGGAGACTGGAGAACTAGATGAAATCTCTGTAAAATCTACTTATTTCTGTCATTAGGAACAAATAATTTAAAATCCTGGATTCCTAGTCTTCTCTGAAAATTGAAAACAATTACGACACTATATATTTCTCACAACAGATATCAGGATAAAATATGAGGACATACTTAAATATTTTAGAGTTTTTAAATAATTTTTAGAAATAAGAAAGAAAACAATAAAAGAAATATAAGAATTGAGGGCTTTTAAATGTGAGAAATAATCATTTATGATCTGGACATCAATTTTGATTATAAATATATAAGTGAAGGCTGGAGAGGTGGCTCAGACATTAAGAGTGCCTGCTGTTCTTCCAGAACTCATGAGTGTTGCTGGTTCCAACACTCATATTGGCAAGGTACTATCACCTGCAACCCTAGCTCCAGAGGAGCCAACACTGCTTCTGAGCTCAATGGACACACACATACACATGGCAGACACTCACAGACACACACATGTATACACAAATAAAAATAAATTAAATCCTATTTTAAAAGGATAGGTGAGAGGCTGAAAGTATGATAAAATACATCTATGTATATGGACATTGGCTGGATGCTCAGGCTACTTATCATTCCACACTCTACAAACTCAACTCCCTCATCTCTACTGGGAGAATTAACAATGTCTGTCACACAGGACTCTTGTGATGAGTAAATGGGGAGTAAAAGTACCTCCATCCCCAGAAGTTACACCAGGAGTGAGCTATTCTAGTTCTATAACCGAAGCTGGAACACCCTCAGTTCTCCTCATGTACAGGGCCCAGGACTCCTCCATGCGACTCTAGACTCACGTGGCACTCTCATTGTATGGTGTCCCATCAACCCATCGCCACTGTCGATAACCTGGATCCTGCAGCCCTATAAAATAGCTATCACCAGGGTCCAGGATCCTGGTGATGAAATTCTAGAAGGAAAGAAAGATTCAGCTTTCAGTCTGGATTGAAGGCTTCTTTTTCTGTTAAAGAATTTTCATAAGATCTTTTAAACATTATTTTAATGATACAAAATTGTATGGTTCCATATGATGCACTTATGCAAATACATAATAATCAAATCCTAGTTTATATCCCTAGGCCCTTAAATATTTTTCAAATTTTAAATAGGAGACACCCCCCCTCATCCCCTGGAGTACCCATTTTTCTCTGGCTGATCAGGACACAGGCAAACTCATCACTCATATTTTCATGAAACTGGAAACAACCTCTGATCATGCGTAATTAATTCTCATCTCAGAATCACTCCTCACCTTTCTTTACCAATACCATTCTTGAGAATTGTGCATGAGAGAATTTTGCACATTTCGTTATTGTCCATTCATAACTTCAGATATTTCATTTCTGGTGGTTGGTTGTGATTCTCTCAATCTTATCCTGTTTCTTTAAAACCTCGTCTGTTTTAGGGAGGAAGCATTAGACTATAGAAAGCCTTAGAGTGCTGAAATCACAAACTGCTCTTTCAAGCAAAAACATTCCATCCTACCCTCCACCTGTGTGTTGCGTTCCCGGTGCCATGTTTCTTTGGGGTTTTTTAGGTCTACTGAAGGGGAAGCAGGGGAAGCAGGGGAAGCAGGGGAAGAAGACAGAGAGCAACCTTTCCTGTATATCTGGTGGAAAACTTTCTGCCACAGCACCAACACCCACGTCAACACAACTCCCTCTTAGTGAAAAGAGGCAGAGATCAGGCCGAGCCCAGGCCCCACTTTCTCCCAGGATGCACCTGTTCTTCCGGGCTGTGGATCACCAGCAGATGAGCGCCCATGCTGGAGCAGTTCTCTTCACTCTCGTTCCAAAATGTTAAGTCAGTGGAAATGAAGTAGCAGTTGGAACCAAATGGCGTCCAGTTCATTGGGCAGCAGCTCCAGACTTTGTCTTTGGGGGAAGAAGGAGATGGAAGTGCTAGGTAATAAAGTCGTTTGAAAGGCTGCCTGAGTGCAGAGCCTACGTGGAAGCTGGGACCCTCGACTTCTCCAGATACAGCAAGAAGCCCGTCACCCCTAATGTACCGAAAAACTCAAGTCTATTTCCATTGATACAAACATCAGGACGTGTTTGTCCTTCTGGGGTGCTATCACGAAAAAACCAAACAAACAAAAAGACGGAAAGAAAAACAAAGTATAAAGGACATCCAGACTCTGAGAACATAATATAAAACAGTCTGGATAAACAAAGAATAGAACACGTGACACCAATAGCCAGAAAATGTCAAAATGTATATGACATGTAAACAATCATGTCACTAATCATGGCAGCATTATTCTGACAGAGATGTTAAAATTAGCCCTGATAAAAATACTTCACAATAACCAGGCACCATGGCACACCCCTGAAGTCACAGCATTCTGGGAAGCAGAGGCAGGCAAATCTCTGTGAGTTCAATGCCAACCTGGTGTACTAAATGAGTCCAGGACAGCAAAGGCTACACAGAGAAACCCTGTCTTAATTTTATTCTTTTCAGAACTGTAGGCAATTAATAACTTCTGAGAGAAGGAGAATGAATCTTGTTCAGGATGAGCTCATAACTGGTTGCCCAATACCAAGATAAAAGATGATTATAGGTCAAGGTGCCGGTTTGGGGGTTTGTGTGTTTTGGAAGAGTGTTTTCTTCCTTTGGTTTCTGTTTCCTCTCTGGTCTTCTGGTCAGTGTCCTGTGATTGAGCAGAGGGTCTCCGCCTGAGTTGACAGCTGAACCTCTGGCAGCGGGCATGGCCTCTTTTGAGCATGGCGTGTCCATTAGAGCCGAGGGCTGGACAGAGTGGTGAAGAGGGGAGTGGTGTGGAGGGTAGTGTCTGGGTGCACTAAGAGAGTGGAGGAGGTCCAGGGCCTGTGGTCTATCTGACGTTCCGGCGGACGATGTGTCCACTGGTCCAGCAGTGAGTCTCAGCCTGCGTGTGTCTACTCTTCTTCAGGCTGGTGTGGCCTGCAGGTCAGCAGGGGAGAGTCTCTGGGGTTGGGGACAGGCATGGTGGAGAATTGTGTCACTGAGAGTGTTCCATGGGCAAGCTGCCTATCTGTTTTTCTGGCGGGCATGGCCTACGCTTGCGTAGCGGATGTTCACCTAAGTTGGCGACGTTTCTGATAGATTCTGAGGTGGCCTGTCCTGGGAGGTGGGGTCCACGTGTACATTTCCATCAGACCAGAATATCTGATGTGTATGCCTCCATTTGTCTCCACACGTCTTGTTTGTGAAAAGGGTTCTATTATTCTAATAATTCTCTAGCTTCTATTTTTTTCTGAACATCTCCGCACAGTTGCTGTTTCTCAGCTCACTTTATGTATTGTATATAAAGAGGAAATAAATAAATCCCTTAAGGAAATCAAGAAAAAGAGAAGCAGAAAACACACACACACACCACACACACATATAACACCACACAAACACACACCACACACATCACCCATACACACACACACCCTGACACACATACACCATACACACAACACACATACACACATATGTACACACTACACACCTGATACCATAATCCCTTCACTCCAGCAGCTGATACTGGAAAGATTTGTATGACGTTCAGACAGTCTTCTATTGGGGTTGTCCATGGTCAGCTGGTAAGTCACTGTGAAGAAAGAAGGGAATGAGCACCCATACACCCTGGAGCCTCATGTCCTCTATGTGGGCCAGGCCAGCACACTTCCTCTCCACCCCCCCCACTTCTCCAGGCAAACGCACTGAAGCCCAGACTAAAGTATTGCTTCCCTGTATTCACTCATGTCTACATCACTCATGTCTACATCTCTCATTTGTTGCCCCCCCAACCATGACATCAGCTTTATTTTCTGAGATAAACACCCCATCCTCTACATCAATTAACCACAAACCCCCACATCAGCACACTGCCACAAGTTCTTCACCGTGACCTGTTGATTCACCAGGGTCTGGCTTCCTTTATTTGAACAACTTCTTAGCAAGAATAATGGCTATGTTACCATATCCTAACCATTCCTGATTGCCGGTAGGAGTCCTTTAAACATCTGGAGACTTTTATGTAGTTTTGTAGATATGATCAAGATACATTGTATGTAAATATGCAAGTTTCAAAGAATAAATGAAAATGATTTTTAAGTTAGCATTTTGTTCATGAGTGTGCATATTAAACACTGTTAACAAACACAGACTTTCTGCACTATTTTAAACGAATGGTTCAACCTTTCCAGTTCCTCTTTGAGGTCTTGAACTTCTGTTTCTTCCATATCTTTAACTACCCTACCCCACCCTCTTAGGGCTGATGTGCCAATTAGAGCAGATCCTGCTTCAGTGAGAATGATGTCTCATGGAAGACTTGAGGCACTTGGCGTAAGTCACTCCCACTCCCTCCTGGACTGTGCAGTGACTACTGTGACCATCTCTGCAGCAAATAGAGAGCAGACTGTAGACCACAAAGAACATCATCAAAGCTTCTGGCACAATAGTCTTCAGATATGGCTTTGTGGGCAGATGAAACAGGGCAGATGTATTTTATTTCCTCAATCCTCATTGTTTAATTTGGTTACTTTTCCCCTTGTATTGAAAAAACAATCCCATATGAATCAAAGCCTGTAAGCTGCAGACATTATGAAGTGAACTGGAGTTGCACTCCCGATAGACAGATGCTGTGACAAAGACTGTGATCGCTGGTGAACCCAATACTGGAAGGAACTGTCAAAGACAACGGTTATAAATAACACGTGGGTAAAAAAAGCTAGGTGAAGGAACCACAGAAATCTCAGTGGTCAGAAAATAGAAAGAAAAAAAGGGAAAGAAGAGTCACAAAAAACATGGAATTGCATGTAAATTATGACTGGTTAATGGAATTCAAAACAAAACAGCCCCAGCCAGGAGTGGTTGCATTTGCCCTTAATACAGGCACTTGAGAGGCAGAAGCAGGCTGACCTCTGTGAGTCATGGCCAGCATGGTCCACAGAGAGAGTTCCAGGAAAGCCAGGACTAAACAGAGGAAGGCTGTCTCTGAAAGCCAAAACCAAACCAAACCAAACAAAGCATCACCTGGGAGTCTCTGCAGAACAGACAAGAAAGAGACACCAGTCAGTGAAGAACTTACCCACACAGCTCGCGATGAAACAGGTGCTAAGGAGGAGGATAGAAACCACAGCAACTGCCCAGATTCTCAGAGTCCAACAAACACCCTTCCCTGTGAGGGAGCAAGCAGGTATACTCACACAAAACCAAAATGCTTAGAGCAATGACTCACCAGACAAAACGCTCAGACTAATTATAAATTTAAAGTAGGAAAAAGCTAGAACCCTAGAATAAAGGACCAACTCAGCTGTGAAGACTCTACAACACACACACAGACAACATACTAATACACACAGACACACTACACACACACACAACATACTCATACACACAGTCACACCACACACACTCATACATATAAAACACACACACAACGCACACAAAAAAAATCTAGAAAAAACTTCACCCTCAGGCACCTGCAATTTCCATATTCTTCCCTTCTACATGCTTCGTAAATATCACATTATTATGCTGATTTTCTACCTTTATACATCTCTTTTCTATATTTGGTTTCTTGTTTTTTTTTTTCAAGGATTTATGAATCTGAGATATTACACTTACTTCAAATTTGTGTAGGTCTGCTGTCTTGCTCTCTTCTATCCCCTCAGCCTGCCCACTTGTCTGCGTCTTTACCCAAGGCAACTACTCATCACATCACACACTTCAACTGTCTTTACTGAACTGAGACAGGGCTGTTCACCTCACCTTTAGGCTGTCTTTCATACGACATTACTTAAGTCGTGTTTAGAAGGTCAAGGGCTTCTTCTTCTTCTTCTTCTTCTTCTTCTTCTTCTTCTTCTTCTTCT